TCAGCTGTGCATTGAACTTAAATTCAACTAGCAAGATGTGATGTTCAAAAAACGAATATTGCTTGTAGCATAAAATAAGTCAAAAGTGGCAATTCTACCAGACCCCCTAACAACTAAGTGAGCCTACTTGTCATTCCCGTTGAATTTTTAGATGATTGACTAGGAACACCTGCGTGGGCAGCAAAGTTGCTCTTCCGTAATTGTGGATTTCATACGAATAGTGAATTGAGCTGGTAAGATCTACCCAAGTGTGATTAAATTCACTGGTTATGATGAACCACGTAGCTCAAACATAGAACGTTGGGTGCAAAAAACCTTCCCTGCCCTAGGAGGACGACTCTCACGGAGGCCATTATTCTTTCACACTTGGGTCAACTGAATTAAGCAAATCTACCAAATCCTCCCTAAGATTTAAGTGAACCTAGTTGTGATTCGAGTGGTTGATGATCATTGATCGCCTTTTAGAAACCAAAGCATTCTATCCAAACTAGAGAGACAGAAAAAAGTTTTTTTTCACTCTCCTGGCCTTGCTAATTTAAATGTCGCTAATTAATTGCTTGCTTCCTGCAGTTTCTACTTTCCTCTCCTTTGATAAAACGAGAAGGCCTGATTCATCAAAGAAACTATCGGCTACCGCCTTTGATTCCATCGACAGGGAAGCTTTATGACAAATCTTGCTTGCTGACGGTCTCCGGCCATAGTTGCTCAATCAGATCAAAGCTTACTATAGCGCAACATCAGCCGAGTAAGAACCCTTGGTGAAGAGTCATATTCTTTGCCTCTGACTTGTAGAGTTCGACAAGGGTGCCCTCTTTCCCCAGTCGTCTTCACCTTCTTGATTAACTGGGTGATGCATCAATCAATTCTATGTGACAGTGAATGTGAAATCAGCCCTGAATTCAGAATACCTGGCCTGGAGTATGCCGATGACATTGTTGTACTTAGTAAAACCTATCAGTCACTACGACTAACGCTAGACCGAATCACCAGTTTCGCTACAACTGTTGGTATGACGATAAATGTGCTCAAGACGAAGATCCTGAGTACGTATCAACGATCAGTCTATTGAAAAAGTTGGCTGCTTCCGCTATTTGGACTCGAATATGACAGCCAAGGGAAAGGCCAAAGAGAAAATCAAGAACTAAATCGCGCAGGCTAGAAATGCACAAAGGCTGCTAGCCAGACCACTCTAGTCTCGCTCAAACATCAGTGAAACATGGCCAGTGAGAGAGGCAGACATCCCATCGCTCGGAGTCTTTGACCGTTGGTGTCTTCGACGCCTCTTAAGAGACTTCTGGTAGGATCAAATTGGCAATGTCGAGCTATACCGCAGATGTTTCAAACTACTAAGTCTGGCATCATACATCCAGCATCTCTTATAGTGCAAACTGGAGATACCGACAAGGAAGTCAACTGAAGACATGACTTAGCACCGACAATTCGGAATTTGAACGAATAGGCCTCGTAACCGTTTACGGCA